ACGATAATTTATTCTACTTAGGTACTAAGAATTATTGTACAAAAAAGAGATACAACATCAATCATAAAAAATGTATTTTGACTCTACAGTGTCTATAAAATAGAATATTCGTATCTAAAAGGCATCAAAAATCGCGTGCTCTGTTACGATAGGCGATTTGATTTCTCAATGCCAATCGACAGAGGCTTTAGTCAGATTGAAGCAGTCGTGCACTTTATACAGGGCTGCAATTGCAACTTGAGTTTCCTAGAGATGACGGCACCTTACTAACACGCTGTACCCATTAATGATTGCTACAATAATGACACTCCTTGAATTCAGTCGCTTGTGGGACGTGTCCATTGTGTCGCACAATACATGATTGGTCCGGGCAGCCCCCTGCGGCATTCAATACAAATAGTCCTATTAAACTAGAATTCTAGTTTTCGGAATTTACTTTTAGTAGCCCACATAATGTTGTTCGATAATACGTACAATACTCGAAGCGGTATTGTAAATAGGTAGAAAACCTACCACGTTTGTCAGTTTTGTATTTAGCGTACCTACTACGTTGTTCCTAGAATATATGTTATTTTCTTACTATGATAGGTATGTGATAAAACTTGTACCATAAGTATACTTTGTGATTTCATACAGGAAAATCCAACATAAGTGCCTACTATGTACCGGTGAAAACCTATGCAGACAATCCATTAAAAATAATAGTTAGCAATAAAGTTATACTTGACAGCGGAAAATTATTCAGACATAAAGAAAGAAGCCAAGATACCTAGATTGGTGTACTATATAACAATATTTTATAATTTACACCCACTTGATCAAAGCTCTGCGAAGCAATTAGTGCCAAACATAACTGAGAACATAATTGAATTCCAGACGTTCGCGTGTTCGTTTGAAGTTGTCAAAGTCTGAATGCTGAACAAAGTCTAGTTTTGTGCTTGGCGAGTCGAAGCAGCGAGTCTATTACTTGAATACCGTTGCTATGTCTAATTTGCAAACATTCCAGAAGATCAAAGCGCGAATAGCTCCATGAACACGTGTCATATCGATCAGGATATAATGAAGACAACCATTTGTAACTGTGCCCGTGTTGCCAACTACAAAAATGTATTCAGTACATTCCGACTCATGAATTTTTTCCTCGTAAAATATCCCGGCAAGGTTGACAATGCTACGAGAAAGGAGATGGTTTCCACGAAGTGTACTCCGTTAAGGTAATGAGTGAGATAAGGTCATAATATATCTGTCAGTGCGTCCGAGGCTCCGGCTGGCGTAATGGTGCGGATGGACCACTTCCACACTTCGGATCTAACTATACTTCGTGGTGTAGCTGATAGGTAGTATGGTGCAGCACTTATTATGAGTGCAGGCTGCCAGGCTCCTTGATATCATTAATTCAGTTACAGTGACATACACTGCTACAATATTTCCTCCGTTTTTTGTGGAACTATATTCAATTCTGCGTCCTAGATTCCTGGGAGGATGTCAAAAATATTTTCCAGTAATATAATGTTAATAGTTTCGGAATTTTACGTAAACCGACCTTGTTTGGTTTACATAGTTCATTTGTATCGCACATCTTATTTCGCCGAAGACTCGACTCGGCTCGTTAATAAAATTCTGACAGAACCTTATTATTCAGAATTCTTAAAGCTCAAAAAACTGATTAATTTAATTAATACATTTCTCTGTAAATTATGTATTGTATAATTAATATTTCTTGAATTTGGTTTACGAATGGCTAACAAAAACATCACCTACTGTTTCTTTTTTAGTACCTACTTGAGACGATTCCAATTAATATTTTCATTAAATTTTATCATTTTCTCGTATTCAAAATTCTAGATAACTGTGTGCCAATGACCTTTGTTTGTCTGTGTGATATGTTTGTATAATAGATACGCGATTCTTCGTAGCAATAATTGCGTTGGCGCTGACTTCCAAGTTATCATTGACGATTTTATAATTAAATGTTTATCAGTCGGCCGTGCGCTTGCGGCGCTAGCGAGAATTCTTGTCGGAAGTCAACCGGTTAGGAATCAAGGTCCATTATCATCTTCTAACTAGGTACACGAAATAATTGTAATATTTTTGTCTCCATGTTAAATAAACTTTACATTATTTGTAATTACATTCCCGAATCAATTTAAAATTTCTGTACTTATATCTACGAGTTCACTTTTTACTTGACTCTACGCAAAAACTTGTGTTTCGGCTTAAGGCGTAATGTTATTTTAGGTTTATCGTCACTGTTTAAATAAGATAATCCTGAATAAGGTAACCGACTGTTCCTACTCATAGGAAATCATTAGTACCTGCGCAGTGTTTTATCAATAAATGAAGAAGGATAAGATTAGGATATGAGCATTTCAAATAAAAACATACCCGTTTTCTAAGAAAATATTTCGTGATTAGCAAAACGAATTAATTAATTATGTAGTTTAAATGCGTTTTAATAAAAAAATACTGATAGCGTTATCCGTATTTTTAACTACGATAAAGAAATACGATCGTCACCATTTTGATAAACGTTGTAGTGTAGTAGATTATGTCTATCTATCTACGTATCGGACAATAATATTTGCGTGTGCACGTCACTCAGTCGAGTCCTTAAGCCTGGCTTTCGGCGAATAGCTATGATTATGATTATGACTAATGCTAATTGAAGGCTTCGAGGTACATCACTGTTATTATTATTCAATTTTTCTAATACGTAAAACTGACTACGCGGGGTACGTGACTCGCAAACAAAGGTAGGCTTTAATAGGTCAGGGACAAAAAATATTATATTTTGTTCTTTTTGTCTCGAGAGGTTAAAGTACATATATTTTTTTATTATTTAAATAATATAATTATGTTGATGTGACTGTGAATTCGAAACATTTTCAGAATCACAAATTACGTTAGGTACCTAGTCGTAATTCTGTGAAATGTTTTGACACCGTTCAACTGAGGTCGTGTCATTTTATCGAGATTAGCTATTTTCGCGGACTATACAATAATAATTTATGCAATAGTAACATAAAGGCATAACAAGGTACATTGTCACAGGATGAATAAGGCAAAGAAAAACTCCCATATTTTTAATTTGTTACGTTTAGTCACGTCCCTTCTTAGTGACGGAATGCGTGACGTACTAACAAAAGCTTCGGTTCAAACAGTAGAACAATACGATACACGTTGATCGTCAATAAGGCGGATGTTTAAAACATACATCGAATGAACGCCGTTGAGCCGACCAGCTAAAGAAGGTTACCAATGTGTATTTAGTAATTACGCTGCAGGACAATCGCACAACGTGTGCAAAAAATCGATTGTAACAGGAAAACCGATATTAGAAACGATTTCTACTTTCACTCGTTTATGTTTCTTAGTTTTATGACGGATTTCTATTGGCTTGGCTCCACACCTTGATTACTACAGCTAGCTACTAAGTATTAATTCTAAACCTGGAAACCAACTATACCTATCTGCTACTTTACGCTATGAAGACTCCTTTCAAGAATTGGATTGGTCTGAGTAAAAATCCAATTCTTTGTTTCCGAGATTGTATTTTGTATTTGAAAGTCTATCTCAGTAAATGGTTTTATTTCAAATCCCCATTGTTATCGCATATTTCTGCTTCACATTTTGTGTCTTCTATCATCCTCTATGGCCAAAAGTTTTTGTTTGGTATTGATTTAACGGTCTCTTGGTCTTTTAATACCCTCCATTAGCTTTTCTGTTTTCTGCGTAAAGTTAATAGGTACGCTATTACGAAAAGTAATTTTACTAGCAGTTTTACGGTGAACACCTACTCATATACCTTTAGTTTTATTCCCATTCGAAATGTTGTAGCTATCTTTAACATCTCCAAAAGGGTTAACGACATGTAAATCCATTAAATAGACGGATTTCCTTTCACTGTAATATTTGTACAAAAAGCTACGGAATTTTTTGCTTTGTTAACGAGCTTTGATGGCTAATCCTGTAAGAATAAGCGAGGATAACTGTACATTGTTGCAAAAAATTACAACAAATAGCTTCCTAGTGGCAATAACTTGTGGTTATTGATTAAGTACAAAAAAGCAACATTTCTATTCAAAATGGACATTCACTAGAATGCGTGTAACGTATTATAATTGATCGGGTTACATAAATCATCTTATTGTTTGGCAGTCGACTCCGCTGAGGTTATTGGCACCAGCGGCCGTCGCCCACTGACGCCCTGGCAATGCCACACTGGCATTCGATGAACTGCCGACATGTGTACCAACACTCTTAATTAACAACCAGCATTTATTTGAAACCTTTGAATGAATCAACTATGACATTTTCCCATCATACATTAATATTTATCTAATTTTAATCAATTTGAAGAATTTTATGATCATCTCGTAAGTTTTTTAATTTTAAGCGCATATTGTTATTATTCATTACGTATTCTATTCCCAGAAGGCAGGTGACGTACTGTTAATTATTGTGCTTCTACTATTAGGAGCACTTGGCCCAGTTTTCAATTGTAAAACATGCTACACGCCTTTAGACGTCGCAAATTAATTATACAATTCGGTTACGATTCCCCGAAGCGGCCCGCCCGTAAATATGTCAAGGTATCAATTAATGATGGTCAAATATTTATCGCTAGGCATATATTTTAGTATCTATGTACATGTCGACTCCCAATATATCTGTAAAAGCTTTTAGCAGCTTCAATTTTTAAGGCTGATTGAGATTGAATCTTCTACGAAAATTGAGTCGGGCGGTACCTACGGCGCGGAAATAACTTGGAGTACTTCAATCTGCAAATTGATTTACAGGCAAAATGTGATTGCTATATAAAAATGATATTCTGGTATCTTAGGTATTTAACATGTACTTAGCTGTGACTGTGTGTGTGCTTCTCATCGAACACTAGTGTAACACTGCATTGAACCAATACAAAAACCAATTCAAACTTGCACGTATACGTAACTAGACTTCTAGAATTAGTTTTTAAACTGCCTTTCTTTTGTTCCTAGGGCGGATCAGTACCTAGCGGCGGTGATCTGATGGCGGATCTCCACGCGAAGCTGTCGATGCGACGCCGAGGCATCTCTGGGGCTGAAAGGGCAGGAGGCTCGGTCCTGCACACACTGGCTAGCTACATACCTGAACCTGAACAGTCCTCGCCTGCACGATCATCCAGCGACGACGACTGGGAATAACCGGATACAGTAACACTTCGAACTAATTAATTTAAGCTTAGTTACATACTGAATTATGACTATGTAAACACAGGGAAGTTAAATACGATTCTCTCTCACTCATCTGCTCCAAGATCTTCGCAGATCTAAATAAGTAATGTTCCATTGTCAAGACGTAGCAACATTATGTTATTGAAGCAGCCTGCTGCCTGTTATGAAAACCTGGTACCGACTTACAAGAGTACAAAGGCTCAGAGCCAAGAGCATAATTGAATAGCTCCATCCTTTGCTCACAATTTATTCATACTACAGTAATAATGAACGTAATATCAAAGGGAATATCACTCTTTAATTAAAGTCGCTACCGAAATATACAGCTGTAAGTGCAACTGCACCATTTTAATTGACGGACAAAAATAAACCATATTCTCTACGGGCCAAGCTCGAGTTTTATACACAAGAAAATAAATACGTATTAAGTTTTAAATTATGAAAGAGTATATTAGTATAGTTAAAAGTAAAGGGAAATGTAAATTTGTACATTTATATATTGGATGTTAACAGTTTGTTTAAAGTTCGTCATAACCGCTTTTTTCCAAATGCGTCTTTTTCTTCCCCGGTCCCCAATTAGAGGATCTCTTACGATAATTTTCGTGGTACTGCCATCTGTATGTTCTAAGTAAAAACACATTAATTTGTTCTCCGAAAACTCGTTATCGATTGTTGGTCGTATAATAGGTATATTTATGTCCATTCCGTATTAGGTTTTTATGTTACTCTAATCTTCATACCTTCTCGGAAGCAGTGGGACATACAATTCCGAATCGATTAGAGCTAACCTTTACATTGACCGCATCCGAATACTTAGAACGCTCTAATTTTAGTCTAATCAAAACGTTTTTGTTCGGCTTATGCAATGAAAACTATCCGATTGTTTACATTAGTGCACGAGTTGTTTGCTTTAAGTGTTAGAAGTTGTTTCCTAAGATTTTCCTCAATTCCCGGTACGTCCACGTATAATATCTCCGAGTTGGTTAGCGTTGTTTGAATAATATTCAAGTTTTTGGGAACATTTTCCTTGTTCTAGGGTAATTGTTGATGTTGTATAGTTATTATGGTACACTATTAACATTCAGTGTCGATGTGTTAGCTCCGTTGTTTAATGTCATGTTTACATAGCTAAGGGTACAGTGTATTATATAGGTACGTAATTATGTCCAATCGTGGACTGAAAGCGAAAGGCTGAGTTGATTGATGATATAATGTTCTAACTTTCTTAGTGGCGTCAGTAAAATACGGTGAATTAAAAGGATATAAAAATAGTCTAGCTAAATGAGTCATTCTTAATTATCTATTCATTATGTAACTATAAGTTAACTACGTCACTAATAGCACTAGCGGTACAACACTAACGTCACGGACTTCTACGTCACACGTTGATGTTCCGTTCTTGAATTCCTAGTATACTATGTAAATTCTATTCCAATCGAAAGCTGGCACTAATCTAATATTTACACATTTTCAAAGTAAATACTATTTATGAAAAGTATTTTGTAGCATAATGTAAATATTTTATAATCTATGTATTTGTAACATTTGGTCTATTTCAATTATTAATATGTATTGTTGTTGGATAAGTAAGAAGCCTAACCGGAACAATCCAATTGTGGCCGTGGTCGGCAGTATTCCGTGAAATTTTTAATAGTCAAGTTCTATTTACAAACAGAGATTGGAAAGGGCTCTCGTTCCGGGAGGTTATTACGATAATCGTATTTCTCACTAGTGACTATCTCGCTTTCGTTTCTAGGAAGGTGCTCGGCTACATTAACAGTGTTCCCCGCAAACTATCAACTGGTTCGGCTGATTAGCATTTCCAGAATTGAGAAAAAGCTGCAACATGACAGCGCTCTACTTGTTCATGTGCTCGGGTTGGACCATTTCTAATTGATACGTTAGCTACGGCTTAACACAAAAGTTAAACATGCGCCCTAGATCTGAACTGAGGTGATATTGTATGAAGTAATAAATTATTCATGGCTGCGAGCGTCATTCCAAGTACTGCTAAATGTGGACTAAAATTATCGCGGAGGATGGAATCTAGGTTGTTAGGAGCTGCTTGTGATGATTGTGCCTACCGCGACAGGTGCTAAATATTTACGACATTAGGAATGGAGTAATGAAGTAAAGTTTCGCTGTCCAAACTAAAGTGTGTAGTGAGTGCATAGCGAGAAGTTATTGTAAGGTCAAGCAAGACTGGTTATTGTAGCGGGGGACTGTCGGGGAATGGTAGTGTTGACGTAGTCAGCGATATTTCACACGCGGCGCCGTGTTTATTGGCAATGAGCGATGTTACGCATATCCATATTATCCATTGCCAATGTCCGCGCGCGCGCCTTTGTACTGTCTGTGCAGTACGTCCAATACATTGCATTTCTTCACATTTATGAAATTGATACGTAGTTCACATTTTACACACCGTTTCAAGTTTATTGTTAGACCTATATTGAATGTTGTGGTAAATCAAATGAAAATAATAGATGTTTAGCACTTTGTATACGTGGAAGTCACTTTGTAATTTGGGAAACGTCTTACGTAAATAAATACATACGTAGGAAGGTAGGACATGGTTGACATCGAATGATTAAAAAACCCACACAAAAAAGCTAATATACTTGTAGTATTTTCGTGAACGTTATAATATGGTATTAATTGACCGTTCGTTTCTAAGAATAAATATTATTTGCTATACAATTTTTTATTGTAACATTTCTTAAGAAAATTATGGAGAAAGGTTGGTAAGCCTTAATACGTATACAAGAAAATAAGAACGTAAATACCTCAGCTTAGAAGCACATCACGTAAGGTAATTTAGGCAGTAGGCCTATTCGCGTGCTTTACACACCTGTGCTGCATCTCTACACGTGACGTGGGTTTATTATTTGGGAATTAGGTAAAATGGCGGCGTGATGTGTCGCTTCATTTTGTTTTTGTCATCAGTATGCGCCGGGGACGCGTGCTACAAACAGTTATTCATATGAAACAGCCGTTAATTCCAATTCGTTGCGACCACGGATTAGCGACGATCCCAACTACCCGCTTCGTGTCATACAATCAATATTTACCTGTTAATGTTGATGTAATAACGTAATAAAAAATCAAGTTTATTCTATCTATAAGTATTGACGCTTGTTTTGATAGTGTAAGTGGAATGTTTGTACGACATTTTCTATTTTATGCAAATGTTTTAAACGAATAGTTACAATTGTTAAGTTTTCAATACAATCAATCAATGAATTAATAATTATCGGTATGTACACGTTATAAACAAATTAAAATTGTTATTTTCCGGGACCACGTGGCGGTATTCAAAACTAAAATATTCATATTCACTTAAAAGATGATTGTCCTTAAACGAGTAATGGATATTAGCGACCTTAATACCTTTATGGAATAATCCCTGTGTTATTTTAAGTGGAAGGCGTGCTTCGAATAATACATAGATACGTTATCTACGTTAGATTTTGAATCTTATTGTTGAAGCAATACGATGTACAATAATGTCGTAGTGTTGTAGATGGGTTACGAGTTCCGTTGAAATAAACGTGCCGCTTGCGCTCTTTTTATATGAAAATAATTAATGTAATATTTGTTTAAGTGTTACTGTTGTACGAAATGGTAGTAAAATCCCAATAAAAACATCGACGTTGATCCTTGGTGCTTTAAAAAAATCAAATTAAATAGTTTGTAAAACTACTGCAGTTTCGTATCTGGGAGATATGGATGCTGGATAAGAATTAGTTTCTTTCGATAGTGATAGCAGCAGTTTTTCTTATCTTGTAATTAATTATAATTGTCGATGGATTTGTTAGGAAAGATGGGCTTTGTGTTTGTCCTCTGCTTGAGTTTCGTCCGTCTGTATATCGTCGAGTCTACGTTGTCGTAATATTCCATAAGAGCTTAAAAGCCGGGTCTTGCCTGTTACACGTCAGACCTCAAGCGATCGTTCTGTGCGATTTCCTATAGTTTTAAATTAGGTATGTAAGTGTAAACCCGGATATTGCTTTTCCAACTTTGAAGTAGAGTCGATACGAAATGAAACTTTACGAGCTTTCCAAAGTGCACACAACGTTTGTTGTTTCAGTTTGTAGTGTGCATAGAATCTAACCACAGCGCTCCCGCTGGCTAAAATGTAAACTAGTTTATATTGTACTCTGTAAAGAACCGAGTCCAGTTTATAATAAAATTCAGTTCGTATCGATCCTCTTCCGATCGGTAAGTTTGATAATTTAGGCCGAATTGCACAGTTACGTCAGAGATTATGTAAAAAATATAAAACGCAGCTGTCAGTGTGTGGGTGCTTTACGTAATGCCATTGTTTTAGCTTATTTTATTATATTAAAAATTAAGTTTTATCCGCCAATATTATACGTAGGTGTAATATCGCAAAGCATGCAAGCTAAGGCCTTCTGCACTGTAACAACAAGTTTTGTAAATTATCCCGACATTTTATTACCTAATTTTTATAATTAGGTGGTAATAGTAAATAGGGCACGACTACAGACGCGTCTGTGTGACGTGTGTTAATTGAATCGGTACACCCGCGGTCGATGTCTAATGTCGTATGTTTCACCTCTAATGCCGCCATTCACAGTGATAAACTACAAACACAAACATACATTTAGATAAATGACGTCATTTACTGAGTGCACCACGTAATTAAATTGCAATTCCTCTGAACTACACTTCTAATGAATTATACTAATTGAAAAACATATTAATAATTACAAACTGTCGACTTAGACATTGACCGGACCCTAGAATAAGACTGAAATCACAGATAAATAATATTTTGAAATTAAATCATTTTAAAAATCAAATGTAAAATGGTTGGTTGGGTAAGGATAAGTGCATACGGCCCGCTAACTTGTAAGCAAGCGTTTAAAGAAATCTGAATAGTTATTAAGTTTGAATGGATTCCGACTAACTTGTGTAGCTTATCGGCGAAATATATTAAAAACTATGTTGATATTATAATGAATTTAACGAAATTATGTATATAGGTATATAGAATTTTAATGTAGATGTTTTTAATTGTATAAAACTGTTAGTGTAATATTTTATGATGTACGATTAATTTGACGGCGCTGTCCAGTGAGACGTAGTATTGTACTGTAAAGAAATTACGAGATGCGCTTAAATAAAAGCATAACACAATTTGCAAGCTGTACAAGTAGGTACGTCAACCAATTTTGATCTCTATTGCTTTCAACTTAATAGTTGGTTTGGCAAAATAATGTTTTCCTTTTTTTAAGTCTATGACATAAATCTCGGAATTGGTTGATGTAACTGCAAAAAGTTGTCGAATGTGTAGTGTTATTTAGTCCAGGCGTTTTTATGAACATTACGTGTCAATGGTCAGTGCCGTCCTTAGTAATACTTGCCTTCATAATTTTGTTTAAGTTTTGACTGACTGATTTAAATGTTCACGTGTTATAGTTTATAGTGACTTTTTTACACTCCATGCATTTTTTTAAGTCAATGCAAATATTTTTTTAAACTATTTAGGTACAACAATCAATAGTCAACTACATATTTTTAAGATGGATTAGTGTAATTTGTTTTATTGATAACGATGTTTAAGTCATTAATTTATTTGCAGCGAATATTTACAGTAGACATGTTTGTTACTATAGAAGTATGTTGTTTATCCTGAATCGAATCCGTGTAAAGCACTAATCCGTCTCATAGGTGTAATGTGTAAATATAAAGTCGGTATACTGTAACTGTTCACTGGATTGTATCACGTTGTCATTTATACGTACGTTTGTTGTATGATGGATTTTACATGTTACGATGTATGGTATATGCATTCATTAATTATATGTATAATGAAATTTTAAATATCAACAACTACTCAGCAGTTTTATTTAAGTCCCCCTGACGCGGTACATCTGAAAAATATAATTGTAATCGCAGAAAAAGTGGTTCTTAGTACGAGAAATGATGAGTGTATAATTGAGGGTCACCGACTCCTTTTTACGCATTCTGATTATTTATAACGGCGGCAGAGCCACCTCGCTAGAAAGCTACGTGTTTCGGGTTTTACACGGCATTGCCCCAGAATAACACCGTCAAGATTTCCTGGTATCACCGCGCCGAGTATTTCGGATCGGAAATAAGGATTCTAGGAAACCGCTGGCCTCAGCCGGCCGCGGCCGCGCGTGGAGGACGCGACGGGCTCGCGTGCCGGTGCCTCTGTGGGTGTGACAAATTGCCTTTTGGGTCCGGTTGTTTTAACGACCCGATGTAATTGACTAAGGTCAAGATTAGATGGGATTACTTTTTTCTTTATTATTTCTAGTGTGTGGATCCTTGAATTACGATTCACTATAGTGAATCAAGAATAAATACATACGAAACATAGATAAACGATGAAAATAGTTGTAACACATGCAGATTAGAACCTAATCAAGAACAACACATTACTACATAATACAATTTTTTATCTTTTCTCTGCATATTTTTACCTGACTTAAGAAGGGTATTATTTTTAATATAGAATATTAACTATAATTTCCAATATAACTTAAATCGGACATTACACGTCAATTACCGTAACTGGCTCTGTAAATGCACATCACACAGCTGTTTGCTGTCAAACTAATGTCAAATGGTGTTGTGTTGACAAATGCCAAAAATATTCGCAAGAATGTTATTGTTTCTGGTGAATTATTAACGAAAAATTATATAAATATTGTAGACTAGTGATTAATTTGAGATTTAGTAGGTGTATAGTGAATGATGTGTACATAAATTTGATTTAACAATGGCTGCCGCGTTCCAACAACAGATATTTGCGCTGGATGCACGGTTCAATGCGTACAGAGCTCCAAATAATCCTAATTTCAGTACGTATGGGTTCTTGTTGTAACATTTGAGTCAAATATTCATATGTATTACTTAAAGTCACGGTACAGATATTAGAGTTTGGCCACATAATCAATTATGAGGGATAAGTATAGTTTTACGATCCTATATAGTCCCTGCCCTGAAGTCAGTGACTAAGGATGCAAGAAGTAATAGTCTCGGGATTCGAAACCCTAGTTCGTAACACGCAATCATATTATGAAATAACACGTAATATACCACCAATTATTAGTGTTTAGAAAATTTGGCAAAGTAGGTATAACAAGTCTTGTTTTTTAAAATTATAGAAACCCTGTACATTCGTCGACGAAGCCAACTGTTGAGAGAAAACGCAAAATTTAAGGTAAACTTGGTTTTTTTAATTAAAGGTGGTTGTCATACCACCATACTCGAAAGTTATTTTATTGAAAATTCAGAAAATTACTTATTACATTGTAGGATATAGAAACGATAAAGAAGTACATAAATGTAAGGAGTCAGCTGCTGCAGCGTCGGTATGGAGTACAGGATAACATCTCCATCAGCTCATCATCTTCACGCCCACGGTCTAGCAGCAAGGTAACGATTGGGTATCTACAATAACTTTATTCACACTGATTTTACAAACTGTAAAATAACTACATAATAACAAGTTTTCTATACTTATTTGAACTTCTTATGTCAAAATTATGTAATTTTTTTTATAATCGTAGTTTTGTAGTTGTATGCCTACTTCTACTTGTCAAATAAATCCTTTTTTCTTTCTTTCTTTCACTTTGGAAAGCAAAGTATATGAAGTAAATACATAAATCCATTTTTCTGACCACTAACCCGTCGTTGTTGTCTAAACGTGGAACCATGCGAGACACAATGTATTTTCTACTGTGTAGGTACCAACTATATATTCAAGCGGTTAACTCGTCGAGTACCATCATTATAGACACAATTATAGAACAATAGGTTGCGGTCACCGGTGACCGCTTGGTGTTTGACAGTTTAATGAGATTATTTGCTTGTTAAGTATTGTTTCTTTGCCAAAGAAGAAATCAATAAAGAAAATAAAAATGTTGTTAATAAAGGAACACCCTGACTCAATTTTCCAGGCAAGTATTTTGGTGGAAGAGAGTCCATCCAACTCCAACTCAAAGCGGAAGAATGACATGACAATATCAGAGAACTATGCATTCTCTGGAGTACATCATATATTTGATCAGGTAACATTATTTAATACTAAGTACCTCATTTGTTAAATGGTGACAAGTACAACTGTCAAACTAGGTGCTGCTGCTGGCACCATAGCCTTATTCATGTTTTTTACTTTTTGTTCAATATTTTTTTATTGGTCATCCTCACCACAACCTCTCAAAACTGCTGAAACTTCTGTAAGACACAATCTACATAATTTCATGCCCAAAGGGGGTAGGCACAGGTGCACATTACCATTATGGTACCACTGTACCTACAATGTAACACCCACTTTCCACTATTTTATGTTATGAGTCCCATGTAATAGGGGGTGAGCCTATTGCCATTTACCGGGCATATTTCCAGACTCCGAGCTACTACTGAGATTTTTTGAAAAAACTCACTCATTCTTTGCCCGACCCGGCAATCGAACCCTAGACCCCTTGCCCCGCGATCTCATGGCGGAATGGCAGCAACGACTGTCGCAACCGAGGGCGTGGCTCGCTGCCATCGCAGCGGTAAGTCCCCTCTTTGAGAAGTGGCTTGAGAGACGCTACGGCGTCTTCACCTACCGCCTGACGCAGGTCCTCACCGGACATGGCAGTTTCGGGAGGTACCTATGTCTGATGGGGCGGGAGGAAACGCCCGGGTGTCATCACTGCGAGGACCGCCCTGAGGACACGGTGGAACACACTGTAGCGGAATGCCCTGCGTGGGCTGAGCACCGCCGTGTCCTCAGGGAAGTGATCGGCGATGGCGACCTCTCGCGTCCGGGCCTAGTGCAGGCCATGATGCGGAGCGAGGGGGATTGGGATGCCGTCTCCTCCTTTTGCGAAGCAGTCATGCTAGCTAAGGAGGAGGCGGGACGGGTGAGGCAGCGAAGCGCTGCCTCCTCGCAACCCAGCCATCGCGAAGGACACACCGGGCGTCGGGGATCGCGGGACGATCTCCGGCCACCGTAAGCGCGGGCCTGCGGACGGCGAGCATGGGTGGCTCCCCGTCCGACCAGAAATAGACCCGAGCGTACGGCGCGTCGCGTTCCGCGCGCGCCTCAAAGAGCCATCAGACCACCACAGATGGGGCCCAATAGGGCCGATGCCGATTCGGAGTCGCGGAGAACCTAACGGGTAACCGGGGCTCCGGCTCGACGTGCAGGAGAAGGAACGGGGTGGTTTTTAGTCAGTAAGAGTCTGACACTCCCTCCCGCCTCACCCAGGCGGGAGCAGTCATTCGATGATTATCCCCCCTTAAAAAAAAAAAAGACCCCTTGCCCGGCAGTTGCACTTGTTACACTCGGCCAACGAAGCAGTCAATGTCAAATACAATCTACAGTAGATACAATTTTCGATTTCCGTAATAAAAATAATTAAAAACTAAGTACTAATATTTTTAGTTTATAATTTTAATAAATACGAATCGAATCCCAGCACACAGAACAAGTAAGCGTAGTAAAGTTTGCGAACAACGACCGCTCCAAGTTGTGCTGCGGATCGGACGATGGGACTGTGTCCATCTGTGACGTCACTGCTACGCCGCCTCGAGTGTCCTTCATACTGGATGGACACACCAAACCTGTAACTGGTAAGTCATATCATACTCCTATCTTTCTATCTAAGAGATATCTTTACCACCATGATAGGAGTCTAGGAGATTTTGAGATTTTAGGACAGCCCCTAAATAAAGTAATATCATTTATAATGGAAATGCATGAGCAATACTTATAATCAAAATCATTCATTTGAGTTAAAAACTATTATAAAGAAAGAAACTAAACTATTTATAACACAACGTCTACATACCGTCGCAAGATGGTAGAAGATAGTTTTTTTTTCTAATAAACTTATCATTAAACTACAAATGGAAGTAGGTAGTAAAAAGAAAGATAGCAACATTCCCTGTATTACACAATATTTTTTATTAATATCTATTGCAGCATGAATCATTTCTGAGCCATCCTGTACTTCTAGGAAATTGATAATACTTTCCGATGACTAGCTAGAAATGTGTACGGCAGTTTGTTATCGACGTCCTATTTTATTTTAAATATGTAGTTACTATATAGTCTATGGGAATTCATAGATAAATGTTTTGTCTCAACAACAACAACAGTTTGTTTTCCCGCGAAAATATAATGGAATCTATACACCAGACAAATTTTTGGATTAAGTATTGAATTAATTATACTTTAATTAATTTATTTCAGTTACCTTATTTATCGGGATAAAAGTGTGATGACTTGACGCAATTAATAAATAATGATAAATTATGACGTCAACTACAAATTTAATTTCACAAACACTTCGCGTAATACCTAGTATGAAAATAAAATTAAAAATATATAAAAATTAAATTATGTCTCAAAAACTATTTGTTGGAAACGTTTCATTCACAATTTCAATTTAACGAGTTAACTCCAAGTTAATAAGACTTATCAACACAACAATCTTTTATTCATCAATTATACCATCTGGACTTAAAAAAGAAATAAAAATATTAAAAAGGTAGATCAACTGAAAATAACTGACAATGTTCAGCATTACTATTAAAAAATCTATTTCTAAAGGCTGCGACTGGTCAGCGTCCAACGAGTTGCTGGTGACATGCGCATTGGACGGAGCTCTCAGCTTATGGGAGGTATCAGCTCGCAGGCGACTTCGTGCCGTACCCGACCAGCTGGGAGCCCCACTGCTGTGCTGTGTGTTCCAACCAGCTAACAATAACATGGTTATTGTATCCTTTACACAAATGAAATTGTGAAAAATTGCCTTTAAAGGAACAGGACAGTAAACAGGCAGACAAATATCCTTATAGTACCTGCACTGCAACACCAGGGGCGTTACAAGTGCGTTGCCGGCCTTTTGGGGATTAGTCTTGTAAAGGTTGGGAAAACTCATAACATCAACTAAGTATTTCACATTGGACATAATTTCCTTGACATTAGCTGTAGGCTGGCAATGCAAGAGGAATGGTGGAGGTACTGAATATATCAACTGGAATATATCCCAGAGGTGAGTTCTTATTTATTATGTATACTTTTATGTATACCGTAGTGTGTTGATATTTATTACTCCATCATACTTGTATTGCTGAAGGCATCTATCTGGGTGAATTTTAACAGAAATTGTTCCCTAGGGGTAATTTTTTAATAGATTTTCAACCTTATGCTTTTACAAAGACTGCCTCGTTGGCCGAATGGTCGCAAAGTCGACTGCCGGGCAAAGGGTCTCGGGGTCGATTCCCGGGTCGGGCAAAGTATTACTGGGTTTTGAAAAATCTCTGTAGTAGCACTCTGGAATTGTGCCCGGTATATGGCAATAGGCTCACCCCCTATTACATAGGACTTATAACATAAATAGTGAAAAGTAGGTGTTACATTGTACAGTAGCATTAAGTGCCGTAATGTGCACCTCTGCTTACCCCTTCGAGGATGTCGCGGAGAACCTAATGGGTAACCGGGGCTCCGGCTCGACGTGCAGGAGAAGGAACGGGGTGGTTTTTAGTCAGTAAGAGTGACACTCCCTCCCGCCTCACCCTGGCGGGAGCATTCATTCGATGATTTTTCCCCCTTAAAAAAAAACCCCTTCGATGATAAAAAAGGCGTGATGTTATGTTATGTTGTTATGCTTTTACAAAGTGAGTCGACATTCTACTAATTATATTGTGGACCCTGGTACATTGTTGGCGCGGTGCACAATTTCATATTCTCTTGGTCATTAATTTACCTGCTACCCAGTTTCGAGTTAAGTTTGCCTACATACATACACTTGTAGTGTTTCAAAATTAATAACAATACCAAAAAATATTAAGTAGGTGCTAATTTTTTCATACGAAATACCCAGCAGCAGTATATTTGTTTTAAAGTACATATAGAGGTATATAATATTTATATTTAAAATTCTGCCTAATTTAAAAAAAAAATTGATAGCGTGGCTGGTTACTATGTAAATTATTAACTAAATGAGTAAATCGTATGATGTTATGGTAATAATAAATGGGGAAATTACACGGAATTGTTATAATTAGTAAATAATATTGCGTTTCTGATTAAGTTAAGTATATGTAATTAAACTAGCTACCTATAATTATGTTTACACAGTTATTTTGTCGGGTTACCAAGAAGTCACGGGTTGTAAGCTACATGAAATATCTACATAAGTTACTGCCTGAATAATATTAGCTATGAATATGTATAAAATTTAATTTGGCAAGTTGCAGTTCCCAATTTTGTTATTATTTACCCCACACTAGGATTTTCTCCTGTGTCGTGGGTTCGTTTACAAATATACAAGTTCACATACACATGACACCTAGACCAGGAACAATCTTAGTTTTGTCGCGGAGAACCTAATGGGTAACCGGGGCTCCGGCTCGACGTGCAGGAGAAGGAACGGGGTGGTTTTTAGTCAATAAGAGTCTGACACTCCCTCCCGCCTCACCCAGGCGGGAGCAGTCATTCGATGATTTTCCCCCCTTAAAAAAAGACCAGGAACAATCTGTGCATCACACAAAGAGTTGTTACGTGCAGAAAACGAAACCGCGACACGTTGTGCGGTGGCTGGCTATTAATTTATATTTACGCCAGTCAAACGTGCATTAACTTAATAACATTGTACGTATTATTTGTGCAGGTGGCAGCAGTATCCTAGGCGGGCGAGTGCTCTCCATCGCTTGCGAGTCCAGCGGCAGAATGTTCTGGGCCGCCAACGACAAAGTACATTTTCCTATAAACACTTTTAGCATATTTATTATTCTATAGAAGAACTCGTAACATTACATGTTTTACTCAGAATAGCAGTTTACAGAATTTTGTTTGTTCAAAATATCATCAGAATGTCGTGTTTACCGTTAACATGCATCAGTTTTTGGAACTTGTAATAAATATTATGTTAATATTGTTCGTCAACTAATACCTAGTTTACAAGTAAACCCAAACTACCTACGTCAACAAACATATTATAGGTACCTACCTATAATATGCTTCGACCATGTTTGGAAGAAAACATAAATTTAACAACAATGATGATTGGTATTTTAGGTTGCAAATGTGTAAGTGTATACCTATATTTATTGATTTATTCGTGTTTGAATTTTGCTAGTTGTAACGACAACGAGCTAGTCGTTACGTTTTATAACGATAAAACGTAGCGTTTTTTGACTATCAAAATCCTAGAGAAGCTTTTAAACAAAAATGCTGATTGTAGAAAATGTTGTATCTCCATGGGCACACTACAGACTGCCCCCGTAGTACGATCCTTACGTACTTCATTAGCTTCCATTACATTTATACACATCCTCGTAAAAGTACACGTCATATTGGATCAAATGTATTTATTTACCTGCCTATGGCTAAAATAGAGGAAAACCCAATGGGTTAACTTTTGATTATAATTTTTCTCATGGTATGATGGTCAGGGTGTGATAGTGAGCTACCGCATGGACAGCGCGGGCGGCGGGCTGAGCAAGCTGCGGCGCTGCATAGTGGGCGGCGCCGTCACCTGCCTCAGCTGGAGCCCCTGGCTTGCACGCCATCCCGCGCTGCTTGTCAGCGCTGCCGATAACTCGCTTTATCTCTTTAGGTACCTAATTCACTGGATACTAGAAAAATATGGGATTAGAGGTATTGCATCAATCTGCATCGTGCAATTCTTCATAGTGTGGTTGATAAAATTGAAATATTGATACTTTAAAAAAGAAGATATTTTGCACACAAATCTTAAAAAGGAATAATAAACATAAAATGTTTGGTAACGGAACTTTTCATACTATAGTTAACTTTTTATATTTTAAGTTCTGTAATTTAGCAAATATTTATTATGCAATTTCTCTAAAGATGTATCTTATCTTGTAATCAATTTACCCGTAGGATAATTGACCGCGAAGGCAACCTGCAGTTAAAGAAACGTTTCGAAGTGCTCCACACACAGCACAGCGTGAAGTCTACATTCTGTCCTATAATGTCGTTCCGGCGCGGCGTGTGCGTCGTCAGCGGCAGCGAGGACTCCTGCGTCTACTTCCTCGACATCGAGGGACATGCGGAGCATCCTGTCGTTAATAAACTGCAAGGTAAGGCCTCAAGGGATTACTAGATATAGTTGAGCTCTATTATCTTTGATTTAATCACCGCTTTCCACTAAACGAGATTGTAGCCAAACCGGTGCAACAAAAATAAGCAGTCAAGCTGGAGGAACATCATTATTTCGGGATGAAACTCTGAGGCAGAGGTAAGCGGTGGGAGATATCTCCCTAAAAAAAGTTTGCGGCGTTTGCTGCAGCACTTGATATTATTATCGCAGTTATGATGACACATTGATTATAGATTAGCTATATCCTATTGTTCTCAGGTCACGCGTCCCCCGTGATTGGAGTCAGCTTCAGTTATGACGAGAGCTTGCTGGCGACAAGCGACGTCACGGGGCTCGTCATCATATGGAGGAGGAGTTGACCTCACTAGTCTGTATGACAACAACAGATCTGATAATATAGAACTATGTAAGTATTGTAAACATTCCTGTACAAATAAAAGTCTTATAATTGAGTCACAAGTTTTATTTAATTATTATTTTTTTCATAGAAATACTTTTAAAAGACTCGACAAAGTCACAATATGAAAAGACTTCCAATGCGTTCACATTCACTAAATACTGCCGACAACTCATACAAATCAATAACAACTTACGTTCAATAAATACATAATTAAACTGGACAATTCATTCAAATAAATTCCTTAGTTTTTTATATCATAAGCTTGGGTACTGCTGCGTAAGATTCACTACAAACAGACTCTACGTTATTGAAAAATTGGAATCTACAACTCTAAGATGGAAGTTGATCCCCAGTATAGGCAAGAGTTATGAAAGAACTGTTGATGTAGACAACCACCCCTTTATATTTCGGTGAACCGAGACAATTCGGCGAATGTAAAGGAGCAATATAATGAGATTCTGGATCCTGAAAGGTCAAGAAACATATTTAGTAGACGAATGTAAGGTAATGTGATTCTTGACCTATTCGTGTTAAGATTTGTTCTTTGATGTGGGGTTGCAGGACTTATGATATGTACAAAGAAACAGAAGCATGTTCCGTAGTAACGTAAAGTTGTCTCGTTCGGCTCACAGTCAACAGCCCGCCACTCGGGACGCCTCCCTACGCATCGTAACAAAATGAACATCTATCACTTATTTACATCTGTACATTAACGAAAACATTCTAAAACTGTAAAAAATAATGTTCAGAACAATAAACGTGTAGTACAATTAATACAATCAATAAATTTTCATATTCAAAAAGATTACTTTCTCAATACATAATAACATTAAATTATATTTACAGCAGTAACTAAACAACTAAAACGCGATGATATGGAAATGAGAAGAATTGCACATCAGGTTCACACTTGGACGTATTGCATACTATAGTGACGACGTTATACTCGTACAGTGGCACAGTCGCAATGTCGATCTATCGCCACAACTTGATACATCTAACACTACACTTATCTAATATAAACTTTTACTTAACTAACAATTGGCTTTTTAACCTCAATCGTAGACCGAAACGCTTCAATTTAGACATTTGTTGAGGTTTAAAAGATGGAAGATGCTTACTCACTTGTGCGTAAAGTAATACAATAATATAATAGGTCGTCACAAACAACAAGTAATTTAGACATCGAGAGCTGCGCACGCGCACGCACCCCCAGCGGGACGTCACACTTCGCCACAACTTTGTTCACGTATCAAAATAATAAAAACGTAATTTTGGTGGGAATCATACAATACTATACATAAAACATATAATTTCTGAGGGCGTGTGCCGCGGGCGCAGCGCGAGCGTATCCTAACACTACGACATACGAAATAAGAGTAAAAAACGTTACGTATGAACATTTCTAACGAGTACGATCGGCTGCCTCCATTGTACACCGACTGTATGGCAGTCTCCTACACTTCATTATAAATATAAAATGATTGACAGTTAACTAATTAGTTGGATGTTATTCATAGAGAGTTATGTATGCGTCGGCGTCGCGCGCGGTAACATCCGAACACATCAAACTATATTTAGAGCAGTAATTATAAGATTGTTTACTGGCGTTAGTTACGTGGTTACGTGCATCAAACAGAATCAGCTCGCACGCGACATAACATCAATTAATAAAAACGTGTCAAAACTCGAGGGACGCGACTGATCTCATAAAATTAGGCTGTAATGTGTAAAAGTATCAAAGCCTTATCTTACGCTATAATCAAAGCGATACACCTATAGATATAATTCATGGCGATTTGTACCTTCGTGTGTGTGATCCTTGCATTGAACTGAGCAGTACTTGCTCCACTGAATACTGTGTGCTGTCCAACGGGGAAATGTAACCGCGTCGGTTAACTTACATTCATAATATGTAGTTTGTATGTAGATGTCAATTTTGATGGATTTTTTTTCTTCTTAGATTGAACGACCAAGCGAAATGTTTTAGAAAAGATTTTTGTTGTATCATTGGCAAGATTGAAAGAGTATAAAGTATCAAAAAGCGGATGGCAATAATATGAACGCGTTACATTTCCCGGCTCGACGGATATGGTGTGGCTATGAATCGATGCCCGTAATTCCGATATGTATATCAACTTTATATCCAGCACGTAATACTTTTTGCTGTTTGTAATACTATTTTATTTCATAATGGCATTGTTTCGTCGACTATTTCTGTAGTCTAGACGAGAAGTGCGGTTGTCATAACCACGAGAAATTCAATCGTTAGTTTGAAATATTTAGTACTGAAAGAAAGTATACATGGTGTAAGAGTTCTAACGGAGACTAAACAATGTCATATTCCAAACTAACGCGTGTTTCTCTTTGTAACGTAACTTCAAACTTTGTTCCACGACAAAGTCGCAGTTACTTCAGATCTATGTTCCTATTTATACAATACTAGTACTAATTAGTTGTAATTACGAGACGTTGGTCTTGTTCCGTTCAAGCGTAGCCTTGGAGCTGCTCTCGATGCCGGAGTCCTCGTCCCCGCTGTCGAGCACGGTGCCCTCGCCCTTCACTGCCTCCACCACCTTCGGGCTCTCCACTTTCACCTCGGTGCTCTCCTCCACCTCGTCCGTCAGTATCAGTTTCTGTTCGGGTTCGACCTTGGGCGGGCTCTTACCGAACGTGGAGAAGGTGGGCTCGGGTACCGGTAAGTCTTCGCAGTCCTTCTGCAGCGGCAGAGAGGTGGTGACGATGGGCGTGTCGTCCGTCATGACGAGCGGTGTGGTGCCGAGGTCTGCGGGGCGGTCCTCGCGTCGCTTGGGCTTGTCCAGCACGAAGTTGAAGACTCTGTTGTGTCGCGGGGACGGTATGTGTGGACTGGGCGGTAGGTCGAGCTTGAGTTTGTCCCGCGTGTGCCTGAGTCCGCCGAGTGCTTCGCCCCCCGGGGAGCTCGGACTCACTGACTCACTAGAGCTGGCGCTGTCCACGGGTCTCCATGTGAGCTCCGTCTCTGGCAGTTTCTTCTTGAAATCATCATCCGTAGTGGAGCCTGGCGTGATATCTTCGACTCCTGAGTCTGGCGTGGTGAAGTCCAGGGAGGGGGTGCGGGTCTGCATGAGTGTAGTGGTAGGGAGTGGGGAGGGAGGAGGGGGGAAGTCCTCTGTAAGGTCATCGGAGAGGTCTCGCTCGAGCAGAGAGGGCTTCACGTGCTTGCCGGGGAAGAACTGACTAGTGGTGGACATGATGCCTAGGCTCTCGAAGGGCCGCGCTGACGACGAGATGAAGAAGTCTTCGTCGTAATCTGTGGGCAATGGTAACATGACAATGGGAACAAATACAGCCTAAGAATTAAAATAACAGGTTGCAATACACACCGGCTCCAAAAGCGATCCCAGCTCTAAGTGGGTAGAGGTCCAGCGGACTGGGAGCGCCGAACAGTTGACCGTAACCTAGCTCAGCTTCCTCAGCACTGGTCGGGTCCCATTCTACAAATATAAACAAAAATGAACTTTAATATCACATAATTATAATCTTCGGCCGAAATACCTACATCTATTTTTGAAAGAAGATCTCCCTCTTAGTGGCGTCAATACCATCAAAAATGTTGCAATTCTGCCATCAAAAATGTAGAGCACAGCAATAGAGTCGAAGTTTTACAACTTTGCCGAGTTCAAGTAATATAATTCAAGTACACCAACTTTAGTAGTCCCCAATTAATTTTATATGATTTCACATTATAATGCAATGGTTAGTTACCGGAGTAAGTAGACAGGTCCGGCAGGTAGGCGGCGGGCGAGTGTGCCTCGATGTCAGCCACCTCGCGCGGGTACTCGTACACGCAGTGGTACTTCTGACGCTTGAATACTACGCGCTTCTTGTTGTCCTGAAACACACACAATATTCGATAAAGCCCTAATTTTCAAACTGTCAAATCTTGTTATATTTGTTGTTTATTAAAATAAACAACAAATATAACAAGATTTAGTCGAAAATTTAAAATCATTCCTCCAATAAATTTATGTGACGTTGGAAACATCAGCTTTTACTCAACTAGTCGAAGAACATCAACTACTGAATGGTCGTAATGAACTGATTGCTATTTTGAAAAATATAACAATAGTGACGTAATGCCGAATTAAAATATTTACTAACAAAGACATTTCAGAAGGTCTAGCCGAAGATAGTCACCGTTACAATAATACTGATGAAATAATTGCAACGATGTCCTAATTGTATCACTGTATGCGCCCAAATGTGTAACAATTGGCACAATCAATGTATTTATAAACATGTCACGCGTTTAGATGTGTTTCCTTCCTTATTTTGACGAGTCATAAGTATGTAGTTAGTGTTTGTGTAATATGCTAATAAGTGGACTTTTATAATGAATATGTACTGGCAATATTTTAGTAGACTATATTTAGAACATGTTAAGTATCTCCTTGTAAGGGAACGATGCGCACGCCAATTAAACTCGCTAGTCAGTTGCACACTGGTTTATTTTATCTAAACTTCATAGCGGAGCGGGGAAGCGGGGCGCAGCCCGCATTCTACCTTTGCATCTATACATACATACATAACAGAACTATTACGGAAAAATGTTTCTTCCTAATGACAAAATTACTAAACCGAATAGTACCTACTACATATAATCAAAATGTAATGTATTACGGCATAAATTTTGATGGAAAGTTATAAGATCGAGGCTCTATCAGTAGAATTAGTAAATATACAATAATTGTCAAAATAACTACTATTACATACCGGTGTCGCTTGCTCCAAGCTCCTTAGTGACGACTTAGAGGGGGCCGCGCGACAGTCCCACGAGGAAGGCACGAACTCCACCTCATCGCCTTCGGAGCCCGACCCTGAGTCCGCAGATCCGTCCGAAGGGCCGGAGCCCGCAGACCCGCCTGGAGGGGACCCGTGACGCTCCCCGCCACTGTTGTTGCGAGACTCCCCTGTTCGCTGCTGTTAGGAAATATACTTTAAAGGTCAAGAATTAAAGCTGCTATTAAATGATTGCAACCGCGATGTTTGAAAGTTTTGATTATGGTAACTATTTGAATAATGGTTGTAATTGAATTATATTATGATCTGATTCACAAAATGCATGTAATTAAAAAGATGTATTGCAATGGACACACAAACTACTGAAATGTTTCTAAACAAGTTACTATTCTATAAAAATGGGGAAATACAGAGCAAACCTGAAATAAATTATAGAAAAAGAAAATGGGTTGGAATGCTGATTAAATAGTGAAAAAGTGAAATTAATGAAAAAGTGACATTATACAATGTGATTTCAAGCAAACATACAATGTTTTGTTCTAAAATAATAATATTTACACATTGACTATATTACAGTCATTTACAAACAAAATAAAGCTTGAATAATAAATTTTCAGTTCATTAAAACCACTTCACAGATGTGGGATGTTTTTTTTAAACATTTACTTAATCAACTTCTGGATTTAAAGAATCGTTAGACATTTTACTAACTTTATACCTAAAAAAAACTTAAAAAAATCAATATTTTGAGATTGATCGCAAAAATACTATGATTTAGATGTCCATAATCACGTGACAGATACCTCGCATGATTAACTAGGCATTAATTCAGATTAAGTACAAACCTTAAACTTTCAATAAAACAAAAAAAAAACCAGCCCACAAAGCACACAAAGTTTAAACAACATTCCAACAAGCTCGCGACAAGTACCAGCCGCGTATAAATGCACAGAGATGTATTATATAAAAGGGCACAAACTTACGTGGTCGAAGTGCGTGGATGGTACGACTGAGGTCTCGTGGCCGTCGCCGTCCTAGCACACACAGGTAACGTCACATGCACACCACACCGACACCCATATTTATATACATGTACAGGCTGTGGCTTTGGGAGAATTACGTCATCATATTTCAATTCTATATAGTAAAACGTTGACCTTATTGATTAGATTGTAAGGATTAGTTTTCTTTGAATCCGTTTCTGATTTGTTAGTTGTATTTAGTGTTGAAATAAATCATAATAGATGCAGTTTATTTATTTATTAATCTAACACTTTTTGTACAATCATACAAGGGTGGACTTAATGCTGAATGACATTCTTTATCAATCAATCGCAAAGTGCTTATTTGTTTATTCTATATCTCAATACAACATACACATATTTCGATTGATCGATCCTTATATTATATTTTTTATCCTTATATATTTTTCGTTGTAAATAGGTATCAAATTAATTAAATTTACATCATTAACAACTTTTCTTGAAGAAAAACAAATTTATGTATTGTAAATACTGTGTATTTAATAACGTGATACCTCCCCCAAGCCAGGATAAGCAACCATGTTCAGCCATACCAGTGGTTTCATGTACATATGTATAAATACAACAAGGGGAGCTAAATTGTATTGATTCATAGTAAAGCAAGGAGTATATTTAAATTTGGAAATGCATTATAAACTCTTTTGTTGTTCAACTTTATGGCTTAGAAAAAGTATTTATGTGTGAGCAAAATAGCAAGTCTATGGTTCATGAATTTCATTTTCAATAACTGTTTTCGTTGAAACATTATTTTGTTTATTTCTAAGCTACAAAGCTGAACATTATTATCACAGTCTCTAAGTACAATTGACCAATTTGTAAAGTGACCCACTATTCACTTACTGTCCTACAGACATTTAAATCGACCTTTCACGAAAAACTTTTCGATGGTAAAGAACTTGTTAGATAATTATTTTTATCAAGTCACAATTTTTGTATTTTATTCTACTGAGGCCTTAGTACGAGTTTGATTTACGTTTAAAGTATTCGAAACGAGTACGCGCTCGGCGCTGTAATTGGCCGGTGCCAATTAACCAACCAATCAAAGCGTCGAACGCGTTCTCGTTTCGATTACTTTTAACGTAAAACTAACTCGTACTAAGGCCTCTGGAAATTATTGTACATAATTTATTGACTCAATCATTACAATAGAAAGATGTATTCCAAAAAGTTTAAATTTCAAAATAATATCTATTCCAGTGACAAAGGTTAAAAAAATTAGCCATGTTTTTAAAAAAAGGAGAACCTGTTATTTGGTAAAATAGGTCACGATTCAAACTTGTCGATTGTACAAGGAAGTATACCAACATGAAGCAGGGACAGAAACTACAGAGTATCCACACCATTACATTAGACACATTTTGTATAGTATTGCTTTAGTCACAGCAGCTAATTCTCACACCGGAAATGTTAAACTTAGGCAATACTTGGATGAGTGAGACCTGAGACATTTAAATGTTCCGAATTATACAAATGAAAATAGATGTTTCATTAAACTTTCCCGATCTACTGTATTGTGTATATCAGTTAGGTCTATCATTTCTAATTGTAAATCAGATTGTCTGCATGATCTGTATTTTTGTGTTCTATTTTGTTTTTCAATGTAACCTTTAGTATCTTTTTAATTTTGTTTTATCCAGTACTCGCATCACATTAATTTAACTCTTTGAGTACCGTCATTATAGACACAATTAAAGAACAATAGGTTGCGGTCACCGGTGTCCTCGCGATGTTTGACAGTTTAAGGTCATTCTTAACATTAGGACTCGAATTGGCTCACCGATACCTGTACTTATTGTTATTTTTAATTGTATTTTATTAGCAATAAGTCTCCCATGTTTTTTAAATAAATAAATTATTACACACGATAAAACTATCATCACTATTATAATCATGCTAATTACACCAAAGAGAACATATACACAGTTCACACACACACTTCCTAAAACCACTAGAATAAAACCTTCTTTTTGAACACTACTTCTTTGTGTAATATTCATTTATGAGATTTTCAACTTTATTGTTTCGATGTAAAATCGAGAATCCAATTAATGAAATTGACAGATATAAGTAGTGCAGTATACAACCGATTGCAAACACTAATAATATTATATGAATAAAAGCAAGTCTCCCCCACCCAAGTGTTCAAACCACGAATATAAATGAATTATTTACCTTCCATATAAACTCCCCGCTTGAAGAGTTGCTGGTATGAGAATCAGAGTCACTGTCCCACTCCTTCAGCAGTTCAGCGGCCGTGTCTCGCTTTTCTGGACACTCTGGCGAGGCAGGTTCCGTCGGAGAGTCTTGTGTGAATGATGTACTCATTATTTCTGTAGCTGGACCTAGAAACGATAAGATTTCAATAATTATTATTATTACTTTGGTCCTATGTAGTATTGTTACTTATATTTAAGGGTTTTGGTATTTTTGGTGATCGATTTGGATCGGAATACGATTAGGTCTTTGTTAGAAATGTAATTTCTGTGTTAAATATCACAGTTGTAGTAACTATTAAAAACTTTTGATAAATTTTGAATCTAGTTATTGGAGTGTAATGAAATAGTAGATTTGTAAAAAACTCACCAGTGAATCTTATATCACTCAGCAATGGAAAATACGAGTCCAGTTGACAGAAATTCTTCTCATTCTGTAGGAAATCTTCTGTGACCACGGTCATCCTGCCGTTCTCCTCCGTCACTCCGTTCGTCAGCTCTCCAATCTCCTGGAGTTCATCCTTTATACTCTTCGATCCTTTCGGACTCTCCAGGTCTTTCAATAAAGGACTGTCACTAGATTTTAAACTCTCTGAAGCATTTCCTTCGCTTGGCGGTTCCTCAGTCTTCGGGTCTTTCGTCTCATCATCTACATTACTCTCGATAAGTTCCTCGAAGGTCTCGTTCAAGAAGTTCACCGTAGCGAACTTCTCACTACCTCCGTTGCAGTCTACTTCGTTCACTGTACGACTCTTGTCGTTCGCTCTCGACGTGTGAGGCGCACTGTGGATCTCTGTTACAAATATACTGTTCGTTGTGTCCGTTTTCTCAGACACAGCTTCTACTTTCGGCGACAAATTTTCGCAGTTTATTAGATTATCTTCTTTAAAATCCAACTCTCCGTTAATCTTGTGTTCTAGTAGCTTCTCAAAGTCTTCTTGCGCTTGACATCTACTAGTGTGCGGCTCGTAGGCATGGTTAACATCTAATATGTTCACGTCGTTCGAGTCGTAATTCTTACTTGGACTCTCCCTGAACGCGTCCATCGTAGTTTCGGTAATTATAATCGAATGCGGTTGCTCGGTCTCATCGTCAGTATCGAAATTGATTAAAAAATTGGGTTCTCTAAAATTAATTAAGCTGTGAGATTCGTTAAAATTTGTAACGATAGGCGGACTTGTGTGAGATTGCGGCTCATTCGCGATGTCTCGGCTTCCTGACTGACTGGTCTGATCCAAGTCTGTGGGCAGCGAACCCATCGCCAGTTCACTGGACATCCTCTCGCTCTTGAGTAGCAGGGAGCTGGCGTCGATCAGTGACGACAGATCTTGTGGACGGCTTCTCACAGAGGTCTCAAACTTCTGAAAATCCTCTGAACTGATTCCACTCTCCATGCTCTGACTAGACTTATCTTTCGAGTTTACGTCTTGTGGTTTGGATAGCGCCGAGTTTTCAAAGTCGGAATATGTCGGCGTACGTTCGGACACTGCTAAGCTGTCGCGGTTGCTGTTCCTGCTCAAAGTTTTGCTTTCTCCGTCCAGCAGGATCTCCGTGTCTTGGTTGGTGCCCTCATTGCTAACATTGGAGGACAAGTCTTGCGGCCTCACTTCGACGGACTGCATGAAGGCCTGGAAGTTTGGTACATGCACGCTATCTTCCGAGGACTCTCTGCTACCTGTGGGGAGATGCATGGGGATTCCTTCAACGTTCTCAGCATCATCCAAGAGATCGGTGAGTGGAGTGCTCGTCACTGATGGTGCCATGCTTTTGTAGTTGTAGTTCGGACTGTTAGTATCTATTAATAGAGCGTCGCTGTCCGACTGGTTCGTCTTATCGCGGCTGTCTATTAGATCATCCTGTAGGCAGCTAATGTCGACACTCTCTAATTTCTTGAGGGAAGGTTCCGTGGCAAGCTGCGGGCTCGTGACATCAGCCTCCTTGTCCTCGACTGGGTTAGGAGGGGTGATGTCGTTATCTTCGGGCATGGGGGATCTCCTCACCAGCTCTGGTTGGGCCACCTTCCAGTCATCGAAGCCCGACACCACCTCCGTAGTACAATTGGAGTAGGAAGGCATTCCCGACATCAGTGTACCATATGCCAGGTCCTTGGTGGTGTTCTTAGTGGAATCGTTCAGGTCGGACTTGGTAAGTACGGACGGCGTGGTACCTGCGTTATCAGTCTTCACTTTCGTATACGTGTAGTTGTCGTTGGCGGTGATGGAGTCCGGCGAGAAGGTCTCGCAGGCCTCCGACTTACTGTCGTGTATGATGTAAGTCGAGCAGTGACTGACTTCCTTCTCGTCGTCGTTGTGAGTTAACGTGTCCGTACTCTCGCTGTGCTCGTCCCTCTCCGGCTCGAAGTCGGGCACGTCCGGGTCCATCGCTAGGTCGTCGAAGTTTTCCTCGACATTGTACAGAGTGTCATTGGAGCACCACGAGTCGATGCTGGTGGCTTTGGACAGACACTGTGTTTCGGACGGTTTGGACAGTTTGGCGTCTGTGGGGAGAGTGGTCTTGGACAGAGTGGACACTCCGGTGGCATTGTCGAGGTTATCAGAGTTTTCCGGCGCGGATGTGTCGGTGGTGGGGCTCAGCAGAAAGGGCGACACTTGTGATATCCTCTCGAGGGACTCTTTCTCTTCTTCCTTCGTGTATGTTTTGTCTTCAATCGGTGAGTCGGCGTCGCTGTCAGGCATTAGCTTTTTAAAAGGGCTGGCGTTCAAGCTGTCTGCGCTCATGGTAATTCTGTAAAAAATATGATTTATAGATTAGAATACTGACACACCTGCCCTAGAAGCTATGTAGTTTCAAATGACGTGTAGTAAGTAATTATTGCATTTTACAAGCATAACGTTTTAATTAACACCGCATAATTCTGTAATCGAGTACTTCGCATGACGGGTCTTCAATGAGTCGATTTCAACAACCTATTAGATAATGAGGATTATCATAGGCTTACGTTATATTAATCATTTAAACTATAATTATTAGGCATTTAATTACAATTATGACTCATGATTGGTGATTTTGGAAATTTCCTCGTAAGTTTATTGATTAACATCATTTACAAAAGACTTAAACAGTCCTGCAACGAGCAGCATGTTCGAATGTTCAGTTAGAAGTAAAGAACTACTGCATCGGTCAGTAACTTTCGACGCGTTGGCCTTAGTTCACCGGACTTTCGCTTTCCGTAACAATTGTAATTTCCTGAATATGTACTCACTCTCTACTGCTGGCAAGGTCGAGATCCCTGTGAAGCGTGTATGTGTTGTTCTGCGACTGGTCGCGCGACGGGTTGCGCGATGGGTCGCGCGATTGTATCGTGTATGTCTGTGCCCCTGTAGGCAGTTCCGTGACGTCATCGGTGCTGTTGTTGCAAGGCTCCGGGTAGCTCTCTGAAGATTCTGTGCGGATCGACAGGTTCCCTATTACGAGAGGAACAAGGGTTTATATTAATGAAGATTATTTATCTATTTTTGACATTTTATTGAAATGACTACGAAGTGTTCTTTAGCCAGAGTGATACAGGTATGAGACGATAGGACAAAGGTTTAAATAATGAAATAGATTTAGGTGGACAGAGAAATATTTAATTGCAGTAAGTTGCCTAGTTTTATAATAGACCTGATTCCATTCTGAAAAAATCTAGCCATTGAATCTGAGAAAGATAATAACATTATGAAGAAAAATCAGAGAAAATCTTTATTTATCATATGAGATGTGTGTGTGTGTGTGTGATGTTTTCAGTGGTAAATAAACACGTACTAATACAATTACATTGATGGACATCGTTACGTATCATGCGATAATATTGATTTTAAATATTATCATCGATGCAGCTGGTAGTCTGAAGGCCGTTGGCAGAATATTTACCATTTCCGATTAGTCATACATAATATAAATCTTTTTAACGATTGTTCGTATCTACATTACTAGGACAGTCTCGCAATATGATGGTCAACAACCCATGCCATTCTAATACTAAACTATGAGCCTACTGTTTAGTTTGTAAAATTCTCAGGACTTAGTTGGAGATCGGAGTCTAAAACTTAAGTCAAGTGTTTCTTTATTTATAGGCTGCCGCTAAATAATAATATGGAACGATAATAGAAAAATGAACCTATTCGATGTACTCGTTACACCTGCAACCACTCGTAGGGCCGATTTTTCAACGCCAGATTTTTTATTCTTCTTTGGCAACCGAGTCTCCTAAACGGTATTGTCGACTATACTGCCAGTGTCGAGTGGTGACGGCAGATTAATGAACCGTCGACTTTAGGGACGAATTATAACAGAGGAAAAAAAATATTGATGGCAAAAATAATTCCTATTAGTATAACTTGAAGTCTAACTAAGAGTCTTGTCGCGCCGGCGATTGAGTGCGTACGCGTCGACAGTGCCGCTGTGATCGGTGACTCACTGCAATTATGTCGCGAAGTACGGTAAAGTGTAATAATTGTAATGTGGTTATTAACGAACTATTGGCTTTTTTACGAAATGTTTTGGATGTTATGGATGAGGAGAGTGTGCACCAGCTATGTACTTCTTCTTTTACGGGGGAAGAAATAGTAGCTGCTAAGACCCTACTCTTTGACTCGATTTCAAGTGGAAAGAAGATGCCAGTGAGAAGAAAGGAAGGAAAGAAAAAGATGTCTCGGGATCTAGAGGACATCATAACTGTCATTAAAGGCTATAATCCTGAATTATTTCCCATATTTGTGGCGAAAGATTTACACAGGGTACCTCCTGTATCTTTTGATCATGTGGATGTTACTCGATTGCTGAAGGAAATAGTGCAAATTAAGGACAAAGTCAATTTGTTGGAAGAAAAAGTGGGTACAAGTGTTACGAATGAACAGTTTGATCTGTTTCGGCAAGAAGTTGAAAATATGAAATATGCATCATTAGCTGACCATGGCATGGCTAAAATCAATGTTAGCAAAAGAAGAGGTTTAATGAACAGTGTTAACCTTGACAGTGGTCCTATAGGTTTACAATATGTGTCTATAAATGTTCCACAAGGATCAGCTGATTCAAAAACAGGTCGGACGCAAAAAAAAACCGGCGATAACAACTGAGGAATGCAATGATAATTGCATCTCCGTCCCGCAAGTGTCATGTAAGGAGGCAGAAAATCCCGTCTGAGAACCAGTTTTGTTATCGGCGACGACATCAGGTAGCAAGACGTCCCCTACTAGCGGTTCGCTTCAAAATGCGATCTCATCGGGGAATGCGACGGAGACAAACGTGTCACTTTCGAGAGAAACAATTACTACATCTCCGATGCTGGGTGTGAGGTCGTGTGAGGCGGAGGTCGCGGCAAAGACACATAGACCACGTTGGAGTGATGCGAGTGCTGCATCGCCGACACCGAGTGCGAATTTAAGTGAGGTGAAAGTGAGTAGTGAGCCAACGGTAGGGCACTTGTGCAATATAGACTCTGAGTGGAAGGTAGTGAATAAAAAACGGTCTAAACTTAATAGACTACATGGTCAAAAAGGTAAGGCTTTTACTGGGCCTGAAGGTAAATTTAAAGCTGCGGACATTAAAGTGCCGTTATTAATTTCAAATGTAAGTACAGATACAAGTGTAGAAGACATTATCAGTTATATCAAAGACAAAACAAATGAGACTGTGACGTTAAAACAGATAAACATGAAATCTGTTCGAAAATACAACGCTTTTAAACTATATGTGTTTAGAAGCCAAGTAAATATGTTTTTAAATGATGAATTATGGCCGGATGGTATTGTTTTTAGGCGCTTTGTACATTTTATGTATAGTACAAATCCTCGCGAAAGTAATGTTAAAGTTGTTTAATTTAATTTATGGATAAAGGGATAAATAACGCATGTATCAAGCTTACTACTTTTAATTGTAAGTCGGCTAAACGATCCATTGATAACATAAGGGATATATGTGGTTGGTCTGATATAGTGGCCCTACAGGAGACATGGCTGCTTCTTTATGACATTATTCAGTTGGGAACCATTAATTATAATTTTGAGTACACGTAAGTCAGCTGTTGATCTTACTCAGGGTTTGTTGAGAGGGAGACCTCATAGAGGAGTGGCTATTCTCTGGAGGAAGGGATTTATTTTTCATTTTGAGCCTCTTTTTATTTTACTATTGACAACTTCAAAAACATGTGTTTCTTTTCAATAGATTGCGTTTAATTTCATAAATCTTTTAATTGATATTTTTGATGAAGCCCAACTTGTATAAAAGTAAAGTTGCCGTAATAGGTGGTACGAATCCTATCAAGGTACAACAAAAAAGTATGTTGTACGGATTTCACCTTTCGCCTTTGAATATTGACAATTATCCATACCAAAAACTGTCAAATGTCAATTATATTCCATAGTGAAGAGTTAACTAATGATTGAAGAAAAATCGGCCCTAAGTAGTAAAGCTCTCTTTGAAATTTAAAAAAACAATTCTCAAATTTCATGCCTCGAATTGAATTGTGGTGTCCTAATTACGTCTACCACCAAAGTCATACATGTGAAAAGCAATATAGGATTGAGTATTGAAATTATTAATGAAAAACGAAAACAGAAAATTTCAGTAATTCTTCGATCAACCTGATACTATTTTCCTTTAGTAAATAATGATAAGAGATGCGTATTGGATGTGGTACTTGAGTGTCACTTACAATTCATATCATTCTCATACGCCGACAGTTGCTGTCCAGTCTCCTCAGCGATGGGGCTCAGCGCGCCCGGGTAGCTGACGATGAGTTCTGGCGGTGGAGGCAGCTCGGCAGACCACTCCTGCTCGCAAGGAGGCTCTATTGCTGCTACCTGTACGACAAGAGTTATAGTTTAAATAAAAATGAACTTTAAAAGCGTGTCCAAAAGGAGATAATAATTTTGGGCCTTATTTCCCAACGAAAAAATCTTTCAAAATGTATGGAGCCGAAATGATCTCCTTTAACCGCTTGAATGCCCGTATAGGAGCCACAATAAAAAATACATTGTGTCTCGCGTGGATCCACGTTTAGACACACGACGGGTAATATTAGCTTGTAAATTGAATTATTACTTCTGTTTGTCAATAATGTCAAAATAGTTAAAGAGACCTTTTATTCATTTAAAAAATATTTATGACATTGAAAAACAAAATAAGTTTTAATAATACCTGTATCATTTGTTCTATCTCCATATCCAAACGCATTTTTATCAGCCACGTAAAACTTTCACTTGAATACAGTAACACAACAACAACACCAGCTCTTTTATAGGTAATATTAAGCACGATTATTAAATTTTATTGTTTATTATTTTAAAAAAGCAAGATACAACAAGTTTAGTGTTATCACCGTTGTAAGGATAAGTGGTTCAACTATTTCCCGCGATTGCCAGCTACCGCGCGATACGCTGTCAAACACTGATCGATAACTACGTAATCCCAGATAACGAGTGTGTTTCTTTTATTTTCTCGCTACCTGACAGGAATAGGTATTTCAATGACAAGTTTGCAATTTCACCATGACTCATTTTTACGTCATATGTTTTAGTTAGGTGTAAAGAAAAAATGGACTTTAATGTTACAGAAATAAATTTCATACTGACCTGTGCCAACGGCAACTTCAGTTCCAGCTCATTCCTCAGCGCTTTGACGCACTCCTCGTCCAGAGTCAAGTCCTCTCTCATATCCTCCACGTATCCTCCGTTCCCCGCCAGGTAAGACTCGGGCAATGCATCACTTTCTCTCAGCAGCATCTCGTCATCAGAAACTAAACCTTCCACCGTCAAAGGTCCAGAGTATTCGATGTTCATATTATTCTCATTCTCCGCCATTGCTAATTTTGAAGTTATTTGTAACTCTATTTGGTTGAGTTCTATCTCTTTCTGGAGTGAGAGGTCCGGTTCTTGTAGATGTGCCGGTTCAGGAGTGAGGTCGATGTCTACAATGTATTTCTGCTGTGACGTCGAAGCTAGAAACACTCCAGGGGAGTTCGGTGGCGTTAAGGGAGACACTCGCTTCTCCGTCCCAGAGTTACCGCTGGGCGCACTCGGAGTCTCTGTTTGAGGGTCCGACTGCTTCTCACTTAAACTTTGAACATCATCAAACTGTAAATCATCGTGCACTATATCAGGAACTTCGTTTAGAAAATTTCCGTCACGCAAAGGAGATGGCGTTTCGAGATTCATCTCACTAAAATTTGACGAAAATGCTAGTAGCTCTTCTTTGGGCAAGTCAACTAATTCGGCGGGCTTCGCTCCTTTGAACAGCTCTAGCGTGCAATTCTCAAAAGGGCCGAGCACTACTGAACTGTTTTCATCATAAGTGTCAGTATGGTGGCTCTTAGTTGGAGACTCAAAAGGGCTCATGCTGTCGGGAACATATCTCTGTTCCAATTTAGTGACAGACACTCCCATCCCTAAGTCTGGCACCTTAGTTTCAGATAGTTCCTCTTTGATGGAATTCTCGATCGTGCTATTTATTTCCGCAGAGCCGTCGCTAGCTAATGGAGTACTGGAGACAACTTCAGCATTCTGGCTGTTGAAAACCTTTTCCATGTGCAAGAAATTGTCTATATCCTTGATACCAAAACTGGGAGGATCTAGGTACTCGGTAGACTCATTTTTGACGAGAGTGCATGCATTGTCTGAGCTAGAATTGTCCAGGCAGGATTTGATGACGTTTCTTACTTGACTATCTAAGGTGTTATCACTCAGTATTCCATTATTAGTATCGTTAATGAGATCCATGTACACAGTGCTGTTGTCTGAATGTATTCTTGTATCAGCTAGGGTATTATTATCAGATCTAATTTTATCACCATCAGAATTATCCTCAACTTTCTCTTCTAGAACAGCTGCTATAGGAACCTTATCATCTTTAAGTTCTGCATTAACATTCTCTACATGAGTGGAACTGATTGGTTCTATAATGGCTCCTAATATTTCATCAGGAACCTGTTCAGTATCATCCTCTTTCAAAGTAGACTCTATGCTCACGTTAGCTATAACTGAAATCACAGTTTCTTCATGATTATCAGCTGTGGGTTCGTCTCCATGGATTGTGTGCTCCACTTTGGGTCTTGGAGCTTCTTCAAATACAGTTTTAGAGATTTTGTCATCTCTCATTTCCATTTTATTTATGACTACATCGTTTTTCTCGACATCCTGTACTAAAGGGATATCTTTGCTTACATTTTCTACAATGACTTTAGCTACTTCTTCATTGATAGTAAATTCATCAAGTTGAATTTTTTGTGGACTCTTGTCTAGTTCAAAATTTTCTACCGTATCTAGAATATTTTCTTTAGAGTCGACAATAATGGGAGATGCTTTATCTAAAACTAAAGGGACAATTTTACTAACATTTGCATCTTCAATAATATTGGCATCTTTGAGTTCATCTAGTAAACTTTCCTTATTTTCTTCTTCTAATTTCTCTACTTCATTAGTTCCAACTTGTGCTAAGACATCTTCAGTCTTATGCACTGCACATAAAGTGGATTCTTGATTGTGTTCAGTTACATCTGTTGGTGATTGGTTGTCCTCAGTTGCCAATTTAGGTTTTATTTCATGTAACATTGCTATCTTTCGTTCTTCCAAAATGAAATCAGAAACATCTTTTACTACATTTGTTGCAGCTTTTGTAACATAACTGAAGTAGATGTTTGGGTCTATAATAGGTTCAGATGAGATTTCTTCATAAATATTCCTATTGTTTGTGGAATCATCCATTTCCTTGAACACTTGTTCCACAGAAGTATTAATTTCTTCCTTTATTATTGCATTTTGTTGTTGGACCTCCTGTATTCTTATAACAGGCCCATCATCTTCTTTCATAGCATCTTCAATCTCATCTCTGACAGTGGCACTTTCTGTATCATTTTCGTCCTTAAAAATACTTTGTACTATTTCAGGTGGCAATTCTGGCGTTGGAGATTTCACTTCCTCTATTAAGATTACTGGTATTTCAGTCTCTTTTGTTTCATTCAAGTTAGAGCTTTCTATATTACTCATACTTTGTACTGACTCAGGCGTCTGTTCCGGAGATAGGAGCTCTGATGGCTCTAAATCGCTCACTTCACCTAAACTATCCTCTTTCGAGTTTCCAAAGGCTTCAGAACTATCAGTTACTTTTATGAGATCACTATCTAGGACTTTTTCATTATCACTATCTTCATGTTTAGCTGGTTTCTGTTCTAGCTTTTCCTCAGTTGATTCATCTTGTGATGATTGTTCTACTTTACTAGTTGTTTTGCCATGTACCATTATAGGCAAGAATATATCATCTACCATTTGTTCCAGTTCGATCTTATCTAAAGAATCCTTACTCTCTACTTCACGAGGTGTATCTTCAATCTTCCCTACATCATCTATTGACTTAGTTTCATTCTTATCAGTACTTATTTCTTTTAAGTTACTATCACATGATGTTTGACAGTCTTTAACATTCAATTGTTCGATATCACTAGCACTAGGTATTGACGCTACACATAATTCCTTCAGCTTGGGTATTTCACTATCACTACTCACTATTTTGTTATCATTTGGCAATTCTGTGTGTTGATGTACGGACTCAACTGGTTCGTTATGAACTAAAATATTGTTTGTATCGACCCTCTCCACTTCCACTTGAATTTCAATTCTTCTGACGACGTCTATGTCTTTTATTGGCGTGTCAGGTGTGAGATTCTCTAGCGTGTGTTGGCTGGTAGTGTCGAGCTCACTGTGTCGCTCAAACGAGTGGCTCAGCGTGCCTATAGTGTCGCGGTCGAGCTCGTCGTCATCGCCAGTCTCAGTTTCATCTGACTTTGAACTGAATCCAGTATCTAGAATATTCTGGAAATTTGTGATACCGGGAGACTTGACCATACTGGATTGCATCGGGTAATCCTTCTTGCAGTCCAAGCTTAGATTGTCCCTAGAGGGACTAGCTTGATGACTCGACTCTGAACTTGAAGTTTTTTCCGAATTCAGTATATTATCGAGATTCTTGATGACATCACTAACATCTTTGTAATAGCTGACGTCATCTGTGCTGCCAGCTATGATATCCTTGAGCCAGGGGTCCATGGAGGCGTCGGAGCGGTCCTGCTCCTTCTCCCTGGCGTCTTCGAGGCTAATGTTGCCTTGGTGGCATTCGAGCGTGGCGGTCTCGTTGTGGGTGAGGTAGATGTTCCTGACATCTTCTAGTGAGCCGTGGAGGTTGGTCAAGCTTTCTGATTTGATCTGCACGGACATGTCCTTGTCGGACATGATGCTACTGGAGCGCGAGACGGCGGTGTCCATGTCGACGCTGAGGTCGTCGTGTGTGTGTACGATGGCGCGGTGCTCGTCGTGTTTGGGTATAGAGTTGGGTTTGAGTCTCTGCCAGCGCTCTTCGAAGTCGGAGCTGCCGTATCCGTCGTCCCTGGGCTCGGGCAAGTCGCGTGTGCTGCAGTACAGGTGCAGTACTAGCGCCTGCACCTGCGCCGCCGTCGGTCGACTCGACGCCTGTTCGCTCCAGCATAGCTGCATCACTTGGTAGCTGGAACAATATGCTTGCGTTACTGTACAATCTACATGACATATTGATGTGTTTTGAATAATCTCCAAGGTGTAGTGTATACTTACAGATGATTTCTATAAGGACAGGGCAGGTCTGGCAGTGGCGGCGGCAGTCTGTCTGGCGAGGCGCCCCAGGCACACACCTCCCATATTAACGTGCCCAGACACCATGACTCACTTTGGGCCTGCAAACATAAGTTATTTAGTAAACTACTCCAACATTCTAACATTAATAATAATTAAAACTTTTATTCACAATGTTATTTTAACAATATTCTAGAGATCAAAGATAATTGAAGACAATAATTGTGTGTATGAAGGTAAATACGATTTCATCATCATATTCACAAAACATTCACAACGGATCATACATCCTACTTCTAGATTGATTAGTTTTAATTAAATAGGTTTTAACTTTAACCTTAAAGCTTCAAACACGAAAGACTCATTCTAACTACATCGCCTGTACAAACAAAGTGAGAACCTGGCACATAGCATGCAATACATTACGTACAGTATAGAGCGGTGGCTGCGCCCGAGTCTCCGGCGCGGGCAGGCGGTAGGGCGGCGCGGCGGGCCCGTACCGGCCCAGCACCGCGCGCGCACTCTCGCACGCCCCGCGCACCTGCACCGACCCGCACCATACGTCGCTGGAACCAACACAAAGCAAACTAGTATCATCGTCAGGTAGGAAATGGCAGGAAGAGGTTCTATAATATGCATACTTTTTTAATGTTCCAGATCTCCGTAAGAACACTTTGAGGGATGTCGTCTGACTGGTTGCAATTTTTGGACATACTTGAGTTTAATAGTTTATTTAAAAGACTATTCAATTGTTGGGACTTTCAACCACATTTGACTTATGATATGTACTAACACAATAACACATGTATTAACACGCATGACACAAGAGAAAATCTAATACTTCTGTTTTATGTTTACGTTAATTTAAAAAAACAAACTTGTTACCATCAGATACACAAAAATTAACTTTAGATGAAATGAATAAGAACTTAAGCCATATGTTTTAAAACAATTTAAATACATACCCATATAAAAAGCCTCGTGAGTGCAAGTGCGCGAGCGCAGAACTGACGTCACACATGAGCCGAAGTGGCACTCCGCTCTCGTTCAGTATGGCCATCTTAGGACGGTTCACTATCAAATACTGCTGGAGATCCTGCAAAGGTTAATGAAAAACATTATATAACAGTCACTCGTGTATCGCGCAATACTCCTCATGAATATGAGCCCTTAGCATGGCTTGAAACTAGTCGAGCTCCATCAAAAAGTTACGTGAATAAGCTGTGTTCCAAGTTGAGTAGCGTTAGCTAGTCTCAGTTGAGATACTGCCTTTGAGATACTTTATGTACCCTGCATAGTTATATGCAGGGTACATAAACATATGCAGTTATTGAATATCTTTATATATTTGTGTTATATTACGCGACTCATATATGCCTTGCACAATAAAATTGTATGAAGAATGACATTCCAATCCTACCGCCACTGTCTAATCAGTAGAAACTAGAAGACATCTGTACTTAATACATAAAGCCGAAGAGTAGTTTTACGTGCTAATCTTTGAAACTACTAAACCGATTTAAATAATTCTTTTTGTCTTAGATAGTGTATTTATTGAGGAAAGTTATAAGCTATAAAAATCACGCTGTGACCAATAGGAGCTGAGCAGCGGGTGAAATCGCGCGGTTGTAGCTAGTACTTCATAAAGGCTTACCATAGAACAAAGTTCAAATATGAGTATCCATGGGTCTTCCTGGAGACATTTGGTGATAAAAGCCAGTATGTTCTCGTGTCGGACATCGCGGTACATTTTGGCTTCGTCCAGGAAGCGCGCCTTATCCTCCAAGCTGGCATTCTGGTTGAGGATCTTGACCGCCACTGTGCTCGTGGATCCGTTGTCTTCAACCTCACCTTCAACCACCTAGAAAAAAGAAAGATATAGTTAGGTACCTCATTGACACTAGAATATCGGCAGAATCATCAAGTGATAACATACACGTCTGCTTTTAATTAGGGTAGGTTACACATATTTTTTCTTTTCTCACAAAATTAAATACTTTCGACGATATATTAATTTGAATCGCGTGACGTCACAGCGTATCACATTTTGTAGCACGTTATGACGTAACAAGCTCCCACTCCTGAACTTAGTGCCATTTTATCTAAGTACTTATTGCAACTTAATACAAGAAAATAAAAAAATACGTTTCTAATATTTTTTCATTATTTAACTGACGGCCTAATTAGATTTTTAATTTTGATACCCTGACTGAAACTACCCAATTCTGGCATACCTCATTCGCCTTAGTTTTACGTTTGCCAATATTGTGTATCTATAGATAGAACTTTGTAAAATAATACAATAAAACCAGAAGAAAAACAATTCATTACGAACACTAAAGTATATTTAGCAAAAGCTTATTACTATTGTTTCTAGGCATATAAGTATTTCTATTTGTCAGAAACTTCGTAATTTTATTTTATAGTTAAATATACATTGCACGTCAGTACCTACACGTGTGTAAATACTCATCATGTTCACTTAATTCCATCGTAAAACGTGACTCCATGACATCAATACAACATTTAATTAATCATAGTGCACCTTGTATTTTATGTTTAATATCTACATATTATGATATAAAACATTTATTGTGGTTTGTAAGACCTAAAAAAGGAACAGAACACTGTCTATCTTCATCTATATTGTGTTGCATTTAGTGACTGGTATAAAGACCACGTAAAATATTTATTGGTAAATATGCAACGTTCAATTAACCAATAAATTATCAACATTAATAATTACGTTTGTACTGAGTAAATGTTCAGAACATTTGTATAAATAAAACGACAGACGTTTCTCAGGTTATATTATTATATGGCACTAGAGAATGATCACCCACCCGTGCACAAATAAGAAAAAACTAGGCTTGGCTTATAGAACAATGGATGTCATATATTTGTCGTTGAGCTCTTAATGTGTTATATAAATCAAAATCTTGAAATACTGTGAACTGATTTGGTACCAATATATCAGATCAAATATAATTGTTTTTATTCCAGAATCCGTACATGTCATCAAACATCTCATTGTTTCTGTTACCTTTTTTTTTGTTGACGGGGGGAATCCTTCCAAAGGCGCCTAGCTTTTTGGGGGAAAAGACTGAGAGAGGGTGGGATTTTTACCTCACTAAAACCTCCCCGGTGGTCACCATCCGCACTTGAAGGAGGCACCGGGTCCTCTTAGTAGACCAACTCCGGAGCCCCCACTGTGCAACGCCTTTTACAGCACCTCCCTATGGAGACCTATGTGTCTCTCCTAGAGCCTCTCTGTGCACTGCACGGCGGCAGGTGACCACTGTGCCGCCGTCATCCTTGAGGTCATTAGGTGGGCGCCTAGATTCCCCACTCTATGCGCCCATGTTACCTAGCTGCGATTCCCTAACCATTTGCTAAACATGAGTATTGGTATAATATCTTTCAGCAGAGGGATTTTGAATAATATCGGGTCATGTATCCACTTACTCTTCCAAACCATCCTCTACCAATCTCTCGAAGATACTGCAATCTGTTGCGCGGGAAATCTTCTTCGCCTGGAACAAGTTATGCTAAATTAAGTACATTTAAAATCAATTGGCTGCATGTTTCTTTGTATTAAGCCAGTTTGTATGAAAACATACGACGTTTGGAGTGCACGCTAGCTACATGTGCGAAAAGTATAAAGGAAAAAAACCCAAGCAAGTCACAATTATTACATAGTAAATTAATTCTCAGAAAAAAACCTTGATGAAATTCTTCACAGTAAATTTATACATTTATCTATTGCTATTTGTAGACAATGACATGTATTTAATATCAAACCGCGAGCCTGCACCCAAACTTTATTGTTCGTATGTTTCTATACCTCGCTTAGCAGTGATAGTCATCGGTCATGGGAACTTTGTAATGCTCGAACGATAACAATGGTGCAGATTAAAACTCTAAAAGGTCTTGCGTCTACAATACAACGCAATCGAAACCTGATCTAAATCCCATGGATACAAGGTTGAAACTCGAAGCCAACGGGTTATTCATTGGTAAGTAGGCCTAAGCACTGAATTACGGATTACGGGACTTGGGCCGTAATATTTAAGGCTTTTAAGTTGCCAATTTATTTCCCTCGAGACGAGGATGGATGACAATTTTTGACGCTTTGTTGGGCGATTTCAAGTGAATCAAATGGCCGTTTTATCACAAGTTATTTCTTTTTAAAGGTCAAATTCGACCGAAGGGTGGAGAAATCAAGCTTTTATCTTTAAAGAGGTCCTAACACGACTTTTGTGGCATTTCTTTGGCTTAAAAGATTTATCTTAGGAGGTACAACAAGAGTGTCCTTCAGCTATATAAAGATGTAAATTTCAGTAGAAACGTTCTGAAATACTTGATACCTACTATTTATTAGATTTTAGAGTTCTAGGTGAGGTATAGGTACAAACACTCACCAAACCAATCAGCGCAGTGCTCCAATGGGTCCGCAACCCGTATCCTGGTGGGCAGTGGTTCGAACTCGACCACGGACTCCCTGCTGACTCTGTTCCTCTCCTCGTTCTCACTCACGATGTACGCGGCCGCGTTGTTGTTGGCAATGTTCTGCATCTCGCGGAGAGATATCGGCCCGTTGTTGTTGTCCTCACTGATGTTGTTGTTGACGGGCTCCACGAACCCCGAGTCCGGCGGATGGGCCCGACGACCATCGTGCAGGTGTGTCGCGCTTGCAGTGAATAGCTGCAAACATTTTGTTTGTATTAATATTTGCTGCTAGTTGCTTAGAAGAAATGAGTAAGTTTTTGTAAACTATCGTGTGAACATTTTCAAACTAAGTTAGATAATATTCCAGCTGCTTAACATATTCTTGTATTATGGAGATGCCCATCTAGTTTCGAGCTCAACCAGAGTTCTTAATCGTGATCTATGCAGGATACATCGCTATAATACAATGATCAGAGTAACCGCATGGATATTATCTAATTGGGATGAGTGTGGTTATGACATAGGTAAATCTAATAAGTATATTGGATTTGGATTGTGAGTTACGAGTAGTCTAGAATTAGTGATTCACTATGTTAGTGCTCAACATAAAAAGGTGTTGTAAACTGTAAATGACATATATCATGCAAAACAAACAAGGACATTTTTTGTTTCTGTATTAAACGTGTGTGTGACAAAACAAAACATGATTGGAGACCAAATTAAATCCTAAACCCTGAGTATTAGAAAACCGCCACCAAAATAATCTAATAGCTAAAATAAACGTAACAATGGGACACACACAACTACATCATCTACTAAGTACCTGATTGTCCGCTCCTTCGTTCGGCTGGCGACAAGAGAAAACAATGCATCAGACATTTGATCTTGTTCATACACGAGGTATAATATTTTGTATTGTTCCTACAAGGACTGCAGATACGCGATATGACGGAGTAGAGACGTGTTGCTAAGAAGCATTTAAGTTAGTTATACTAAAATTTATTTTCCATAAGGATTTAAGCAGCACATAAGACATGTGCACTAGTCGTGTTTGTGCAGCTCATATAAAAACAATATTTCAACCACAGCCTACTTGTTTCCATAGAAAAATCTATTACACCATATCTCAAAAGGAGTCTGGAATCAAAATCAAAGATAAACGACAAGGTTAATCTGTAAACCAGAATGCATTACACAGTACATTCGTATGGCGTGGCATACTTCTGTCACGTCTAATTGGCTAATGCGATCGGACTGCAGGCGTCGCCCCTCGGATTAGCTCATCCAAGCGAATTAGTGGAACACCATTCCGATCGACACTGTGTCACTTGTAATATTAGCTCGGCTTTAAAACTTATTTTATTTCATATCATAGTGCAAATAACTTGAAAACTGTATTCGTAATCATACCTTTGTAGAATAAAAATACGTCAGAAAAGTGAGGCTACAGAGGTGAGTACGTCAGTAATCCCCGCTTTTACATACAAACATAATTGGTCAATTACTGTCTGTGAATAAGAGAGTTGCAGGAAAACAGCGCTCGCCCGCTTTCACAAAGGATACTAACATATAATACGAACTACTTTAAATAACTAGGTCATTAGTGTTATTATGCAGCCTTAGGAGCGACGTTCTAGAAATTCGTTTGTGATACAAGTCCTCATTGATGCTTCACACCGATGCAGTCACAACTGCAACAGTCTTATATCAACAAGATAAACAATATTAAACTTCTAGTTTGATTACAATATTGATGAGTTTCTATGATGTTTTGTCTGGATTATGAGACGCGGTTATTACATTATATTAATAACAATGACAAAGCAAAGACAAGTTAATCAACAAAACCTTGGACCACTCCTTACAGGGCGTAAACAGGCATGTTGTTAATATCGCGTTAGGACTCGTAGCCAATAATATATCATGTTTTATTTCCAGATACAGTTTCACAGATAACTTCACGGTCTATAGGTCTACGAATCAATTCTGTGCGACCACGCCTCCCCAGAAAAATTAGGTTACGCTTCAATTTTTAAGCGCCCGTAAATATTTCTATCTTCTGATTGCTAGATCGGTTTTATGCGACCAAATTTGAAATGATAAAATGTGTTAAAAGCAGAAAAACGTCTGACAATAATTGCATGACCTTCATTGAAGCTCTATTCAGTTTCAGCCGTGCCCACTGACTGTGGGATCGGTGAGCACAAACGTGTATTCAGCGGCTACAATGATTCCGAAGGTTCTTTACAATAACTAGGTCGTATAGCAGCTAACTCATGTCACCATTACTAGAAACGACATTTGTGAAAATGGAAATGCTAGATGCAAATCGCATAATTTCAGAATCGAGAACCACTGTATAACTATATCCCGGGCATGCAAACAAAGTTTCGCAGTAAATACTAATAGAACCACGAGACAAGGTTGATAATAAAGATACTAATGTACGAGAAACTTTAACAAAGTTGTTAAATATGTTCGGGATGGTGCAGGTGGCTGCGAAGTGCGACAGATTTTATCTCTTCCGATGTATTTCGTGACGAACAGGTTAACAACTGGTAGCAGGTGCGCGAAACGACCATACACTCGGAAAGGAACGAGGATCCAATATTTTTTCGTCCTATTTTAAAATAAATATAAGATTTTATGAGCAGAATTACTTTTCTAAAGCAAAAATATCAACAGTTGTTATCTAGGGTTATAATATAGGACAAAATCATCCCAGTAGAGATTACACAACAAATCACAGAAGCCGGAAGACGTCCATTTGCAGAACTCGGGCCCTCTCGGCTCGACACGATTGATTCAAAGCCGCTTTGAACTCTGTCTATTTAGCATGTAGTGTAGCTATAGTTGTTCTATGAAAGAATACGTGGAGGACACCCACTATGTCAGTTGTGTCATGTTGTCAGTATGTCTGGCAATAAACGGAAGCAGAGACAGATTTTAGAATTTTTAAATAGCTAGTAATTCAAGGATTGACAATTGATTATTGAAAGGTAATCCTGCAAATTGAAAACTGAGCTGGGATAAGCTATTTAAATGGACAAACTTTAATTCTTTGTAAGACTATTCGTGTGAAGGTATTCGGTAGCAAAATGAGTTGTCCATTACACGGTACACCAATACTTGGAAGGCGAGGTTTTCATTATGGCAATCGTGCTGCATCTCGCGAGGTGTCACACGCAACAATCGTGTGAACTGGCACGATCGCTCACTGGTACTTGTAATCTCATTAGCTACAATTTTATTCTTTACAGCGTGTTTATACTCAAATTAATTTGAATATTGAGTCGCTAAAGTGTAAAGTTCGTACACTCAGTATATTTTTTAATTGAGAAAGGTGTGAAGCTTTTTTAATTCTGATTATTTATGCTGAAGTATTTTATTTTTTATGTCAAAGTTTGTCGGTTTAAATAACTGCAAATATCTAGGGATTATTTCGTCTCTATGTAATCTTCATATTAACTTCGAGATAACTGCTAAATACGTCTAATAACCTGAATGATTTACAGAGAGACACCAGAAACTGTTTAAAAAGATTGCAACTACAAAAGTACAGCGCGAATCAGTTCGCATCGTGTCCACTTCAAACGACCAATTCGCTCGACAGCGCCACCTGCGTTTAATTACTATAAATGACGTAAGTTCAAAACTTACGCGACCCGTTGTTAACAAGATAATTGCTCGTGTATGTGTGCGTGACGAATGTACTCACCGGATCGTATTACGATTCATGTTATGCAGTTCATCGCGGGTTACGTCAAGGCTTGCAACGACCGTTTATTTTTAATTCGCACTCTCTGTACACCGGCCTTCTTCCGGACATTGTTGTCATATTATAGTGAATGGTTTATTTTTAACTTTGTCATAAGTTATGAATTAGCAATGAGCTCTTCTACATTCAAGTTGGTACCGCATTAAACCTTATGTCGTTTCTTTCAACTTCTAATGCTCTGATGGTATTATTTTTCTCTTCAATTTCATCAAGCCATTCGAATTAATTTTCAACAATACGGTTTTTAGTATACACAATAAGAATATAATGAAGCTTGTGAAGTTCAGTTACAAATGAAACTATAAATTTTCTATTGTCATCTATTGATTACTATAACATCTTCAATATTCAATCAAGAGCAAAAAATAGAAACAAACATTCAAGGAAACCCAGGCACAATTGCGCAATAAGCTATAACATAACATAATATGCATGTAAAAAGCGTTCCCTGTCCCAGCAACAATAGGCGACAATTCATAAGAACACGAGTCCCACACAATGAAGTTGTAAACTTTATACTCTTTATAGTCGAGTCCACAACTCCACACATTGTTTGATCCGAGTCTTGTTAGGGAAAGTGAATGATAACGGTGTTCAAATGTAGGACGTCTACTTGACTGTGACAAGCTGGCATTGGATGACTAAGTAAATCCGTTGCTTCCTTGTTTTGTTAGCAAAAAAAACTACTTTCCATCATTCAGCCTCCTTTTTGTCGCGTTCTAAGTAGCGTTTATCCGGTCATCTCTCCTTGAATCATTCAAATAATCCGTTGTTTACGGATTTCCTACAAAATCTACTCATTGATTGTATTTATAAAGTATCTAGTTTGTACTGCGTTGTTACCGTCCCTAGTAGCAGGAGATGTAATTGTCTAATCACGACAGTAAGTATTTATGGAATTTTCTGTTGTATATTTCATTTAGTGTTCATTTGTCGTGGAAGTTCAATTAAAATAACTGTACATTTATGAAAACGTACAATTCGATTCATAGCGCTTGATTAGTTATCGTTCAGGTAGCAGATTCATTAAAATCAGAAACTTATGCAAATTATTCCAAGATTTTCAATTTTTATAATGGACATGAAAATAAACAAAAATTGGCGGCACGTACCACAAAATGGGAAATTTAATTAATGTCCCGCCCATTAATTACTTAGCCGGAGCAACTAAGCAAATTGTGGAGGTTTTAGTAAATAAGTAAAGGACCAACTTGACGTCATTATAAGGCTTGTGAAACAGCCGACCCTCGGGCAAAGGTCATATTCGCATAAAGCCAATTCAATTACCGAAATTATCATTACTAATGTTAAATTCGTAGCTAGTGTACATCGCTTAATGTTTTGTGACGAATGTGTTTTGAGACAAGTTACTAAAACTTAAAAGTAGGGCAGTTGTTTTGAATATTTGATCATTAGCAACACAATGCACAACACGACCTTTGCAAGAATCAAAATAAGGGCTTACGTTTTTTTGACATGTTTTAGTTAAAATGTGTCAATGTCGTTTCGCAATCGTTCTCAATGAACAGAATTTTCTGTATCTACCTACATTATACTCAGAACGGTCAATTGCACTACACAACGAACGGTACTGCATTGAAGCGTGATAATTGTGTGAATTGATGACGTGAGATGTTACAACAGTCGAAGGCGTTAGGTCGCAAACATATATATAATAATTCTAGATTATGCAAAATATTTCTTCACCAGAGACTGTGAAACTAGATTAAACGTAATACCGATCGGCATCGTAACCGATGTCGCGTGTCCAAATGTTATAAAATCGTAATACGTACGCGATTTGATGGCGAATTAAAATTATGACTGTATGATAGGAATGGAACGTAAGGTCCATGGAGTGGTTTTATGAAATAAATTCAATAATAAAACTAAAACCGAATCACCGTGAGGTATTTTGCACAAAAAAACGTACACTTGACACGAGCCAAATAAAGGACTGACACAGCACATTTTGAGGAACCATAAATCAGACCGAGTACCCGAAGTAAATAAGGAAATCTTAGAGAAACTTTAATCTTTTCAAGCGAAACTGTCTTACAGTGAAATAT